ACAATCGTCTCAAATAGATGCAGTACATTCCATTATCAGAATTTTCTCCTTTCGAAAGGGAATTATTATCAAGGTACTTGAGAAACCCAACCCAAGACCATTTTTTAGGTGTAGTTTCTAAAAAATAACATAAATATTTATCCCCATCTGTATCAAGGTTTGAGTCTTCCACTTATATTGATGGAAAAAAAATATCATTTTTTAAATTAACATAAAAGTTTATTGTACTCAACTACTGTTATTATTATTACTTACTCATTTGTATTGACTGGATTATATATATGTTATGATTAACCTTTATGATTTTTTTTAAAAAAAAAGAAAGTTATTGCAGTATTTTACTCGATATGGAAATACTAAATACTGTAATGATCGACGTTATGAAAAACTATAGATTGGCTAAATACAGCCGGGGATAATACCCTGTAATTATTAACGTCATGAAAAGATCTGTGCAGATCTTTTCGTTTTTTTGAAATAAAAATATTAATAATAAATAGAGGTTGGAACCGGTTTTATTTTCAGGAACCGGTTTTAATCACCTTTTCAAAATCAGAACCGGTTTTAGTCGGGCAACCGGTTTAATTTTGTGGGAATATATCAAATGAAAGCAAAAGTTAGAAACATTCAGACATAAAATTATTTGTACAATAGTATTTTTAAAATAATAAAAGACAACTTGTCTGTTTGTAAGAGTGTTCAATTTGTTTCGAAAAGCGATTCTTTACAACTTGGTAACAGTGAATGTTTTATGCACATTCACATTTACATATTGCGAAAATAGTGATTTAAGGACCACGGGAATTTGGAAAAGTTGCACGAAAAGATGGAGAAAATCAACACGGAAATTAAATCAATAAAATAATTAACTCACAGGAATTACCAAGAAAGTAACATTTCTTTAATTATTTTCAAAAGAAATGGTTGTTTATTTTAAGGGATACTTTAATTAGATCAAATCAAGGGTTTTTATAAATTGAGGAACTAGATGATTAAACCTTTAACATGTATAGATAATGTTGTAATTTTCTTACCTAAAAAAAATAGAAAATCAATAGTTAATTCATAATAAACAACCTTAATCTTAATCTTGTCCTTGTCTTTGTCCTTGTCTTCGAATTTTATATTTTCATAATGATAATAAACCTATCTCTGACAATGAATCCCGTGTATAATTAATTTTCTTTTATTTTATATTTGTCATTATTTTTATTTTTTTTTTTAGCGAATAATATTTAATAAATTCAACAATCAGAATCATCAGATGATTCTACAGATTTTGAAACCAGCAAAGAATGTTGATGCAATAAAAACTTTACTTGAGGTATCATTAGCTGAAGGAAATTATTTGAAAGGCTCTTGGAGAGATGTGTTGACATGTGTTAGTCAATTAGAAAGATTTCAATTGATCAGTACTGGCGTGGATCAAACTACTGTTCCTGATTTGTTTAATGCTAGGAAGCAACCACGGTAAACTTTACATATGAATTTTTTAAGATTTTTTTGCTGTTGAGCAGTTTTCTCTACCCTATATACATTTTTTGTAATATAAAAATTTTGTTTATTTAATAGAGTTTCTTTAGAAAGTACTCTTAATCGTTCTAACTCATCAAAAAAATCATTATCCATAAGGAATTCTACACAGGTTAATTCCATGAGATTTTAGTAACTAAAAAATTTTTTTAATATATACATCTATCCATATATCTTTATACACGTTTATTAATTTATTTAGATCATGTATGCTGAAGATGTTGCATTAGAAAGTAGATCATCTCAAGTAGTAGTTGCTGTTGATAGAATATTTAGTAATACTACAAAACTTTCTGGGGTAATTTTTGTTCATTTAATATGACAATTATCATAATAGTCATTAATATTATTCTTATATTTATTATTAGACTGCTATCGTAGATTTTGTTAGCTCATTGAGTAGTGTGTCTTGGGAAGAAATCCAATCGTCGTCGATGGCAGAACACCCACGTATATTCAGTTTACAAAAGATTGTGGAAATTTCCTATTATAATATGGGTCGTATTAGAATGGAATGGTCAAATGTTTGGGCCATTCTTGGTGAACATTTTAATCAAGTAATTCATAAATTCAAATATTAAATTACATGCAATATTAATATATCCAATAATCCTTATTATTTATTATAAAGAACATCATTTGTTTATTTAAATAATGTTTATATAGGTTGGATGTCACCCTAATATTAATATTGGATTTTTTGCTGTTGACTCATTACGACAACTTGCAATGCAATTTTTACATAAAGATGAACTACCACATTTCAAATTTCAAAAAGATTTCTTAAGACCTTTTGGTTATATTTTAGCAAACAATTCAAATATTTCAATAAAAGATATGGTAGTGCTATTATTGCTTTGTCGTTTTCTCTTCATTCATCTCCTTATAAGAAACAGTGATAATAAAAATTAATTCTCATTTTTTTTATAAAGATATTAAGATGCATTCAACAAATGATCCAGGCAAGATCTCATAATATCAAATCTGGTTGGAAATCTATATTTGGAGTTCTTACAGCTGCTGCAAAAGAACCTCACGGTAATTAATTTTATTAAACTTATCATCTTATTCTTCTGTCTGTTTGCTATAAAGAAGATCTTCACTTAGAAATATCATTATCAAGCTGTAATACAATAACACAATAAATTTCCTTCCTCATTCAAAAAATATATATTAATTAGAGAGTATCGTGGTTTTGGGGTTTTGGCTGAGTAGATTGGTAATCCAAGACCATTTTGATAAAATTGTATCAAACAGTACATATCCTGATCTTATGGTTTGCCTTAGTGAATTTTGTAAGAATAAACGATTTCAAAAGACAAGGTAATTTTTTTAATACTTAAACACAAGAAAAAAATTACTTATATTTCTATATATTATATATAACATCTAAATGTTTAACCGATCAATATTAATTTGTTATGTATTAAATCTTTATAACAAAAGTCTTCAAGCAAACGAACTCATATGTCAATCAATACCTAAAATGATTGAGGATCCACATTACCAATTAAATGGTCAAGCTAGTGTTAAATCAATTACCAATGATGATCCATTATTTAAATTTTGGTATCCTTTATTGTTTGGATTTCATGACATCATAATGAATGGGGAAGATTTAGAAGTTAGAACAAGGTGTTTGTTTTGCTTTGTTATGTTTTATAGGATGAAAGATAAAATGGTGTTACTTGATATATTTATATTGATTTTTTGTTAATAGAGCCCTAAATTCAATGTTTGATACTCTTAAGAAATATGGTTCAACGTTTTCTTTAGAATTTTGGGATGTCATATGTCGACAAATCCTTTTTCCAATTTTTGGAATTCTGAAGTCAAAATCGGATATTACAAAGTTAACAAATCATGAAGACACAAGTGTATGGCTGTCCACAACAATGGTACAAGCACTTCGTAATATGATTGATTTATTTACATTTTATTTTGATATCCTTGCAATCATGATGGATGGAATCTTGGATTTGTTAAGCTCTTGTATAACCCAAGGTGAATAATTAAAATTTTTTTTAATTTTATGAAAAAACTCTTAATTTTTATTATTATATGTATGTTAAATTTTTTAATATATATTATTATTTTTTAATTGGGAAAAAGATAATGACACATTAGCACGCATTGGCAGTTCATGCTTACAACAATTAATAGAGGCTAATGTGAAAAAATTGCAACTGGATCACTGGGAAAAAATTAGCATAATGTTTGTTAACTTGTTTGAGAATACTACAACATATAAATTGCTTGATGAGGATCATTATTTCATCAAGGCAGCTAATAAAATTTCAGAGAAAACTAATGGTGATATTAATTTATATCCAGGTAAATTGTTTTTATAAAAAAAAAAATTATTATTATTATTGACATTATGAAGATATTATTTATTTGATTATTTTCATAATCGAAAACTGTATAGAAGATAATAAGGCTGGTTTCAATGTGTTTCCTTCCGAAGTTGATTTGCATACAAAATCAATGATCGAACATAATTACAATGATGATGATGAGGAGAGTGATGATTATGAAAATTTTTCTAATATAACGAGTTCAACTGTACCAAGGACTCAAGAATTTAATGGAATCATTGTAAATTGTTTATTGCAAATACTTCTTATCGATACTATTGATGAACTATTGAACAACGTAATTGTGTATGAATCAATGCCAGCAATTCACCTATTGATAATTTGTGAATGTTTAGAAAAATCATATTTATTTGCACAAAAATTTAATGATAATAGAGATTTAAGGGTTGCTCTATGGAAAATAGGTAAGCATTCTAGTTGTTAATGATAATGAAACTAAAAAAACCTTTTTTTAATCCAATTATCTCTATTTTATAGGGTTCACAAAACAGTTACCAAATTTATTGAGACAAGAAACAAGCAGTGCTTCTACATATTTTAAGCTATTAGTAAAAATGTATTTTGATATATCAAAAGATCGTCAAGAAAAAAGAACAGAAGTTCAAGAAAAATTAATATTGTTAGTATATACTATTTGTTCATCTTTTACAAATTAATAATAATAATAATATAATATTTTTTTAATTAGATTTTGTGTACAAGTATTTGAACATTATAATTCATTTAATCCTGAATCACAAAAAAGAAACATCAATGCTTGGACACCAATAATAACTGAAATTTTAAATGTTTTTAATAATCTAAAAGACAATGATGTGAGTATATATTTTTGATTTTAATTTTTCCATTTTAATAATAACTTTTACTAAATACTAAAACTTTCTTGTTACAGTTTCTAAAATTTGCACCAGTAATTTATATTGAGGCAATTAATTTACTATCAAATAATCTAAAAATAATGGATTTACGATTATCATTACGACATTTCCTTATAAGATCTGGAATAATGTATAATATAATCAAACAGGATAAGAATCACAAATTATAAATCAATAACAAATAATAATGATAACAGATAATGATAATAACAAATAATAATAATTTGTAGATTTAATTTATTTATTTTTTGTTTTTATGTATTTGTTGTATTTTTATTTATATAACTAGGATTCAATGTGAAAAATGACTTTAAAAATAAAATTATATTCATCAATATAAAACCTTTTCATTTGTTTATTCAGCTATTTATTTCAATCATAATTTGCCTCCCCATTAAAATAGTTTCTTAAACTTTATCTAAGTTAAAATTACATCAGTTAAGTTTGGATGGAAAGTATGTGTTCATTTTGTT